ACATAGGTACCGCGAAGTCTTTGGCACTAAGTACCCCAAACTCGAAATGTTGACCCGGTTAATAGCTCCGTGTTTGATTAGACTACTGTAGTTCGTATAAGCCGGCACCGGTAATGCGAGTTTCATATCATCAGACGGGGCTGCGTTCCGCGGAGCATTTATGCAGAAATGGATCGGTAATTAAAGACGCGCCCTCTGCACCGTGTATTGCTCTTTGGTATACACGGAAAATTAGGCAAGGCTGTCTATAATTAGCCGATGCCGGCACGCTCGTATCGACGCGTCGATGAAAAAGCGATTTAGGAATTTCTCAATTATTATAAAAAAGGAATAATACGAATCTATACTATCAACAACAAAAAATATAGAGAAAATAGAAATCTTATATAAAAGAAAAACAGATTATAGATAACTTGAAAAAGTGAAAATAATGTAATAACAAGGCTCGACATGTATAAAACAATACAAATAAAAAAAGAGCACAGAGCCAAATCTGTTTAACGTATAAGATACGTATAATTAAAAAATATATAAATAAAAAAATTCAGACGTTTCGACAGCGATCGGGTCATTTTCAATGTATAGTTATAAAATTAAAATAGATATAAATTAGAAACAATACAATAATTGTGAACAATTCTTCATCCAACTGCAAAAGTACGGTATATATGACGTTATAAATTGATGTCATAAGCAAAAAAGATCCTGATAAAAATACAAAAAGATCAAACTTAACGGAGTTTAAAAAATGATATATTTAATATGTATAAATATATTATTTTTTAAAATTATTATACATTCTTTAATCTTTTCTTCTTTTTTAATAGCGCCTACATTTATTATTTTCTTTTAAGTAAAAAATTTCGGAAGATAGAGTTTTAAAAAATTCCTGTTAATCGCTGATTTTGAGATGGACTCTAATAACCTCGCTGTCTTACTAATTATAATTTATGGTCTCGGATCTTGTTACGCGTACAACGCGATCGTTGTGAGGTCCGTCAGAAAAGAAGCGCTCCCACTCCCTTATTTTCCAATTCACTAATTTACAGTAAATTCGCATTTTCCGCGTTGCCGGGTCTTGGAGTGGAAGTCGCAAGAGAAGAGAAGGCGCGAGTCGGCCAAAGGAAAATCAGAGAATACGCTTCGCTTCGCGCCGAGTTACACCGAAGGAGGGAACAGCTAATTATCGAATAACAAGAGAGATCCCGTTTGAAGACAGATCACCGAGAAGCTCGAGATTGCAAATTGCTTAATTTTTAATGCGCCCGACGAATGTTGTGATTTTCAATCTCAAAAGAATCGAGATCGGGATATCTTACTGCTACGGCAAAACGATGCAGATCGCCCAAAATTATTTTACATTTCATAATATTATTATTATATTAATCATAATATTATAATTATATAATATTCATATACTCTTCACTTATTTGATTTATATAATATATTATTATATTATAATCGACAAATTAACATTTGGTGATTAAATTGTGTGAAGCTACCTGATTGACGGTAAGTGGAAGAAAACTACAAATTGCAGTTGAAAAACTAAGCGAGACACTTTTTTCGCAATTAAGCACCATTATAAGTGTAATATAGTAAAGGTGTATGTATCTAATACATGTAAATCTTTTTTTTTTTCTTAGAAAACCCGGCGATCTTTTCAAGATAAATCGATCCCTTTTGTAATTCTCCCTGCAATATAAGTGCAACTTGGCATAAGTATCTGCTGGAACCCCCGGCTAGAGGGAGAAAGGGGGACGAAAGTAAAGCCTGGATCTACGGCTAGAAAGGCAACGAAAGCCATTGATCCTCACCAACAAGGAGGCGATCGTTCGCTCGAACGATCAATAAACACAGAATAAAAGGGATCGTCCGCAAGCCGACTCTTACACGTTTCAGCAGCGATGTAACGAAGATCAGTAAACGCCCAATCGAGCGATCGATCGAGGATCGAATGATCCGCCAAAATCCTCGTACAATGGTATCGCTCCGCTCGCGTTGTGCCTTCCTGTCAGAAAAATATAACTAAACTACATGTAGATAGCAAACTGCATCGAATTGAACTGCTATGCAGTATCAATGAAATATCGATTCGCAAAAATCCGGAAAGAAATTGAAAAGACGGTTATTGTAAAAGCTCGAGAATCTATTCCTCTTAGGTCTGTTTTTCGAACGATTAACGTGTATACGTACAATTTTAAGGCATGGAAAGTTTCGCAGAAAGAAATACAACAAAAGTGGTATTACGAGCTACAGACTTTTTTTTTTCGAAAATTATAGAATTTCGCAATTACGTTTTCTTCAACTCTTACAGAAATCTATAATTAATTAATTAATTAATTTGTGAATATTGAAAGCACGTTTTATTCGGTACTTTTAATACTTAACATAAGTAATCAATCACTATATCTTCTATTCTATTTTACTAAATTTTTGTAAGAGAAATCCTCTCTGTATCTGTACTCGTCTAATCGATTTCGCACAACGAATTCTTCTCGCAATTCATTTCCATCCATTCTCCATAGGCGGATCGCAAAATGCAAATCTTGCGGAATAAGTCCCCGATCTTACTTTACGGTTTCGTCGCCGAGAAAACGTCCCGCTAACGAATAATCTCAAAGACGATCCTCGCGCACGCGGCCGATAGATTCGTCGTAATGCCATCTGTGCAAACGATTAAACGGACTCACGGGCCCGTGGCCGGCTAGTCTACAAACATTTTGACGTTCATTCACGTTACGTGAAAGACCGTCTCTCACGCTTCTTGACACCGAAAGGGGCGAATCTACGATGCTTTGTGCGTCGGTACTCACCAGCCTCGTCGCACTTTGAAGAATATTCGTGCATGCGCCAGCATCTAACCATTCCTCAGTCGCATGTGCACTATATAACAATGAGAGATACATAGATCCACTTTATATATCTTATATACGTATATTCAGATATTCTATATATTTTATATATATTATAATAAAAGGGTACAAGGCTAATAAGAGTCACACATTCAAGATTTCTCGAATGTGTGACTCTTACCAGCCTTGTACCCTTTTATTATATTTTAAATACTAAGAGTCCTGTATTTTCATTTTTAATATATATTTTTTATATCATATTATATTTTTTAAATATATATGTATATGTATATAAAATAATATTTGAAGAGAATTTTAATTTACCATTTACATATTTTATATTATTTATAAACCTATTATATGTTTTTTTTAGATTGTATATGTATTTTTTAAATATATATACAAGTCCTAAAATTGAAGATAAATATTTTAAAGATACATTATAAATATATGCAAAAGATATATATACATATAGTAAAAAGATAAATAATATGTGTATAATAATACAGAATATGTATTGTAATATAAATATACATATATAGTATAAAAAGTAGAATCATATGTGTATTATATATTATGTACAATGTGTCATGTAGCATATAATACAAAATAATATTTGAAGGAGATAATTATAAGAATAAATGTGCGCGCGCGCGCGTGTATGAGTGAGTGTGAGAGAGAGAGAGAGAGAGAGATAATAAATGTATGTGTGTAATTTATCCCATATTGATATACAGCACACAGTTCATTCCAATAACGTTGTGATGTTATAGCAATATTGCTGCAAATTTCTAGTGTTGTGTGGAATAATAGGTATGTATAATAAAAATCAAAATATAAAAGAATTGACGCGTTTATGTTTAACATTCTCTACATATTCATTTGTTTTAATTATTATTCATCTGTAATATAAATCACACACATACACACACCTTTCCATGCTATTTCTCCACAATCACCCGCATTGTGCGCGAATCGGAATGGCTTATATCGCTTACAAGTGAAATAATAGCGCGAGCAAGTTAAAGTATATCGAGTAGCGAGAATCGTTGTTTCGCGCGCATCGCTGCAAATCCTCTGGAGGAACCAGAAACGTTTTAGCAATATAAATATGTACACGTTCGATATAGTCTCACGTTCTGTCTTCGACGCTCGGCTTTTTTCCACCACCACCACCACCACCACCACCCATCCCTGCTCCTTTTTCCTCCGCGAATATCGCCATTGCTATTCAGATATTCGAGACTCTCTCCGCGGGGCTTTAATAAAAATATTTGCTTAGAAAACAGTTCCGTCGCGGGGGGGGCGCGCCCCTCCCTCCCGAGCGCAAGGCGAGTTATTCTTATATCCAGATTCGCGGCGTATTCTCCGACGGCGATTTCCATAAATGCAATAATTCGAAATAAGACAACTTTCGGCGCTCTTACTTCCGACCTAGAATAGACAGTGTATATAGGGTGATTCTTAATTATACGTCAATACCTCAGGGGATGAATTTAGAGCTAAAAATAAGCTGAAAAAGTTACGCGAATATTAATCGCTTAGGCTGCAATTTTCCGAATCATAATAAATTAAATACATCATATTATGTGATATATAATATAGTTATAATATTATATAATCATATTTAAATTACACATGTATGTATATATATTTCAATTATATTATTATATTTCGAATGACACTTGAAAATATTTGTGTTTGTGTGAATTTATCTTTTTTCTAAAAACAATGAGAGAAGAGCTTAGATGAGTTAATTAAATTACATTTCAAAATGTATCATTGCTATAACAAAAATATTATCAGAATTATTTTTCATAAAAGGTAATAAGAATTAAATTTGCTTTAATTTTACACACAACAAGTAATTCAATTTTTTGTAAGAGAAATAATTTAAATTAAAATAAGTTACAGTTTTAAAATTTAAAAGTTATCTTCTTGACACTATAAAAAAACGTGGTGTATGTAAAAAAAAAACAATTTAATTGAAGATAGAAATAAAAATGAACTGCATGTATATTTTAAAATCTCATTCTTTTAACATGATATATAATTTTATTTAAGATTACCTTGATATGTAATATAGATGTATATCAATATGTATAAAAATATCTAATATTACGGATAGAAATTAATAAACGTGTGTTACTTGGATTTATTTCCCAATCCCGTGAGAACGCATTGTTCGTCCCGACATACCACCATTCTTTTAAGACGTTTCCTGAACCTGTGTCTCAACCCTTTTTTCATGGTATATCCGATATTCGTCATTTGGTACTCGTCGATATTCATATCGTAAGCTTCGATGAATCTCTGAAGAAAATATCAGAAATCTGCAGTGCAAGAATTTCTTTCGAGTGTTAAAAAGACGCGGACGGTACCTGATCGTCTTCGAAGACACAAAAGATGTTGTTGAAACGCGACGAAACGCGGCGAATGCAACTGAATGTGTTGTTCACAGCGTCTTGACATTTGCACGCCAATTCTTCCACGCACAACTAAAAAGCAATTAACGTAGCGATTAAAAGAGCATAAACTTAAAGAAATAAAAGTTTGAATATTTGAAACTTGCTGTGACATTTAAATCGTCGTTTGGACAACCAGGCGATGGCTCATTAGACCTCTCTCCTCTATATTCTATCAAAACAGTACGATCTCGTGGTAAGTTACGATCTGAATTAAATAATGTCGTGCCATCCGATGGATATTCCACGCCAGCTATGTTCAAAATCGTAGCGAAGATATCTACGCTGCTGACTGGCGCAGAAACCGTAGACACCTCAATTCCGGGGCCGGATATCAGTAACGGGACACGTATATCCGTTTCGTAAGGTTGACGCTTATCTATTGGCATGCTGAATTGTCCTGTCAAAAAATCATATACACATGTATAAAAACCATTTAATAAATATATAATAATAACAATATTTATTAGTACGAGTCACACACAATAAGAGCGTAATTTTAAAAATTATATTTTAAAATTTTATTTTAAAATACAACAAAAATATATAATGTATTTATGCTTTATATCGTTTATGGTATAAATGATAAAGCATGATTATTACAATGATTGAAAATATGCAGTTCATTTATTAAAATATAGACATAAACAGTAAGAGATTCGACCAATCATAGTACAGACCATAAGACAATAACGTAAGAAGTAGCCAATAAAAAAAAGGTTGATCAGCTTACTGTTTACATACATATGTCTTACTATTTATGTACGTGTTTTTATGTTATACTTTAGCTTTAACGGTTCTTTGTTTCCTAACATTCAGTGTGCTTCAGTGCTCAACTTATTTTCAGTATTGTCGCCCGATTCTTATGTTATATTTAAAATCCTTCAGTTGTTACAAATCAGTGAAATAAGAACGGACTGTATAAACCGGCCCACTATGCCATTAAATCACTTACCAACATGATATCCATTATCGGAGGTATAAATAAAGTAAGTGTTGTCTAAAAGATTTCGCTCTTTCAATAAATCGTGTATGTTCTTAACAAGTTCGTCTACAGATAATAAGGTTTCCCATCTCCACCTGTATATGTCGTCTAATTTTGGTAAAATATTGTTCGGTAAAGGGGTTGGACCTTTCCTAACTAACCAATGTTTATCCTATTTTTCAAAAATAAAAATCCACCTAAGAATTTACGTTTGGATTCTACGTTCGAGGATCGAATTCTGTTTATAGTTGTATGTACCATGTATTTTGATACGTGATTGTCTTTTAGTGTAACATTTTATTTTTATATATGTGTTCTACTGAATATTCTGATTCTTTAGTTGCTTTCCACATTACATGGCATATAAGATCATAAATAGAATTGTATCTTGATTTTTAGCACAACTTTTATATTATGTAAATAAAACGATCTTTAAGAAATCGAATTATTTTGAAAAAATTAATTATTATACGTTGGGCAATAAATGTTATAACCTGATTCACGGGTACATTAAAATTTGGTGTTCTCTTTGCTTTTGTGCCAATGTATTTATCCTTGTGTCTGACTGCGGGTGTAAATGGCCCGTGAGGGGCTGGAGGTGCCAACACCATAAGGAAAGGTTGGTCACCGGAGTACTCTTTGATAAAATCTACAGCCAGATTATTCTGAAAAACACACCATGTATTATATTTATATATAATAGACATATATATATATATAATTGAAGAATTAAAGGACTCTTTTATATAACAATAATTAATAATTAATATAGAATATTAGAATAAATTATCAGATTCAGATTTTAAATTGTAATTTGACTCTTATTCGCCATTTTTAACGTATTAATTATTGTATATATATATATATATATATTTGATTTTTTATTTATCTTATAATATTAATGAATAAATAACAAATTAATACAAAAAGAAATAATGACTCGTTATGTAAAAATAAATAAATGATGTTTTTAATGTCTGAGAAGGGCTCAATCCGAGAGCCGAAATTTGTAACATTTATATATAATAGCTATTTTTTTATTTATTATCTTATTTTTTATTTATTATTATATTTTAAAGGCGAATTATTAAGTAGTGACTATAATTAAATGTTTTATTGTTTGAACAAGTATCTTTTTGACTCATATATATCGCCCTTGACATCATTTATTTATTAATGAATAAGCTTTAGAGCTCAAATAATTACAATAAAAAAAATAAAAAGACTTTATATATTACCGTACGTATATATAATGATCGATGAACCAAAATGATGTTCGATATTCACAGGTAATTTTTTTTATAGAAAAAAAAAAAGAGTTTCGTGAAAATGAGTAATTTTTTAATACAGTCTGTTCAAAGAGATGGAAAAATTGCAAATGCAGTTTTACTCTTAGACTCATATTTTTGAATCGAACAGGCTCTTCTTACTCTCGATTGCATGTTGAACGTCATTGTTGTATACTCACGATCACGTCGGTAAGGTAATCGTTCGGGCTGTTACCGTACTTTCTCTCAGTACCGTTTATGGATAACGAATAATTGTAGTACTTGGAGTTTCCTACAAGACCGGCCCACCAGTCCCATCCCACTGGTACATGAGCTGCACCACCAGTTTCCTTCCTTCCATACTGTTGCACGTACATTTATTTCAATTGTCATAAATAATAATTATGGGGAAAAAAAATGAAATTTAAAATTCCATTTCAAAAATTTGAAATTCAATTTTACTTCGAATATTTGAGACCTCTCAAATTTTCACTTAAAAAATATATATGTTATAAAATTTAAATAAAGTTATTTTTGCTTGTATAGTCATTCGAGGCACGGAAAAAAGAAATTGTTCTTCAGTCGAAGAATCATTGAAGAGGATCTATACCTGGTTCAGATATTTCCCCGCGTAAAACGTTTTATATCCGACGACACCTTGCAAAAGGGCGGCGAACGTTGCCGGCTCTCGTGATTGTTGCCATTGCGCGCCGTTACAACCGCCGGCGACAGAATTGTTTACCGTTAGATGATTATGCTGATACCGTCCGGTCAAAATGGATGCTCGATTTGGACAACAAACCGGCGTGGCTGCGAACTGAACGACACGAGACTCGTCCTTTACACAAACCGAATTGAAATGGCGAAATGATCTCCGCTCTTTTGGTATATACTTACGCAATTTGTAAACACAGCACCTTGACCTCCTATAAGATTCAGAGTATTTGTCATTGGCGTCTGAAATTATGAATTAAATCAGAGTGAGCACGCACTTTCTAAGTATATAAGTATAACTATAATTGTTTCCATGTATAATTAAAGTAATTAAAATCTTAGTTTATTATTTTTTTGCTTTTTTATAAGAAAATCCTGCATTATTCATGATAAAAGTGTGACTTCGATCTAATTATTAACTGTGATATTTTGTAGCCTTTAATATGAGATGATGCGAGTAAAAGTTTCTTCAGGCAAAACTAAAAATGGACAGATTCTACTGTAACGCTACTCAAATAACACACAGCAGTGTCTGCAAAGTGCTAAAAAATATGCGCTTTTTTAAACGCTTTGTTAATTTACTTTTAGGCTCTGTGCTACTTAAAAAGTTGCAGTTCTAATTAAATGGTACATTTTTCATTGACATATATGTATGTATATATTGTTAGCCTTATTTACTATAAGTATTCAATTTCTTTACTAGAATTTAAAATTTTTTTTTAAAACGAAACTTACAACGATGGATACTTTTTTTTCTACGTTTAATTAATTGGCGCAATACAGTTATACATTAAAGAAGAATATATACAGTAACAGTAACATTTAAATTAAAGTGGTTATTACATTATACTAGCTCTTTGCCCTTATTTTTTACTTATATTGTCTAATCAAACTGTTTTATTTACTAATTTTCTTTATTGACTTTTTTTTATAAGTGTGTACCTTCTAATACAATACCTTTATAATAGAATAATTTTTGATAATCTTGTCTCAACATATTTTTGATCAATATCTCATATTCTGGAAAGTATCACAGTTTTAACCAATTTTATCGAAACCGTTTTTACCAGGATTAGTGTCGTATGGAATTTTTTATTCGATACATTTTAAAATAAACTTTATTAATATATATCCCTGAGAAACAGTACAGAATATTTATATGATATAGTAAATATTTATTATTACTCATTTCTTAAAATGTTGTACTATAAGGGCCTCTTTCACCAACGCCGATTAACTTAATCGACGATTATTTTATATAAAACTTTATTCGAAATATTATTAAAATATAGCTTAAATATTTTATATAACATTTATGATAAATATAAAAAATTATTTCTAATAAGTATTTTTTATTTGGTTTATAATAATGTTTTATTAAGTATTTTCATTAAAAAAAGCATTTACTACAACATTTACAATAAATGTTTCATAATATGTTTATAATAAAAATAAACAAAATATGTCAAGGGCGATAAAGAATCAAGAATTTTCGGTAAACAATGAAATAATAAAATTAAAACATTATACTTAATAAATCGCCTACAAACATTTAACTATATAATAATAATAAAATTAAAATAAAATAAAAATATAAGTATTAAAATACAAAAATATGAAAAAATTTATAATAAATATTTAAGATCTGTACAATCTATCTATAGTTATAAAAGATTGTAAAAATATTTACAGAATATTTTAAATAAGTCTACAAATATTTGTAAATACGCATTTTATAAATATTATGTGCTGTCTGAGATATACATTAATATATTAGATTGAATTTTTATTAATTTTATTAATCTTTATTTTTTTTTGCTAGTTGAGTAAAACAGAGTCAAAGACGCTACCATGCCGTCTAGAATGATGTCTTGATCGTCCGTAATAATTAGCACGATATTCTTCGATGTCGAAAATGACAAACAATTGAGTAAGAAGAAAAGGAGTGTTAGACGCATATTGACGTCGCAAGATCTTCCGGCCGGTGAAACGTGAAAAGTAAGGAGTAGAAAAATTCTAACTGGCCGCGATGGAATTAGACGCCACTGTGTTCTAATTGGCGTTTCGCCAGATCTTTGGAAAATATATAAATAATGTACGATAGTTCAGTTTTTAATCTCGCGCACAGAACTCGGATGAATCGCGTACGTGGTCGAAGCTACGAGATTACTGAGACTACAATTACATATACATATATTGTATATTTCAATGCATATAGTTATATCATATCATCGGATATCATATCATCGGATATCATATAACAAATTCTTTGTGGATGAGCACAGTGTATATACCCAGTACTCAGTATACTTAGGGCTACGTAGAATAAAGGTTGATTTATACTGGCCGTAAACTGTTAACTTATGCCGTAATCTGTAAAAATTGACCAATCACAGTCGAATGAGAGGGGAATTATCGATTATAATTGGTCAATTTTTACAGATTACAGCATAAGTTAACAGATTACGGCCAGTATAATCCAACCCTAAAAGAAACAGAGAACAGAGAATGAGAATTTCAACCTATCAGAAATCATATACTGTGGAATAAACAGTGTGTATTCCATAGTACATGATTTCTGATAGGTTGAAATTCTTATTCTCTGTTCTCTGTTCCCTGTTTGTTTTATTCTGCGCAGCCCTTATTACACTTTAAAATGAAATAGATATGTATTTAAAGTATAGATATAGATACATGTATTTAGCGAAAGTGAGATAGAAAATTCTAGTGCAGTCTAGTACAACGGAGAAGGACGTCTAATGCCTGTTTCCATCAATGCAGATTAACTTTAATCTCGGTTTAATTTAGTGTTAATCTTTCTCTAATTTTTAAAATTAGAAAAAGATGAAAAATTGAACCGAGATTAAAGTTAATCTGCGTTGATGAAAATGGGCATAAGGGCGACTGTTACCAACGCCGATTAACTTAATCGACGATTAGTCCATTGGAATTAACCAATCGCGTCTGTTGTCAAAACTAAATGATAAGTGCGATTGGTCAATTCCAATGTACTAATCGGCGTTGGTAACAGTCGCCCTAAATGTTTAATGAATCACCGGCGAAATATGTTATCAGAGATGGCCAGCCAAGGGCAAATTTTGATGACCATCAAGGTTGCATTCAGACTGCATTCAGAAAAAAAGGGTCTTTTTCACCAACTTCGATTAACGTAACTGATGGATAATTCAGTTATCATGATTGCTAACATGAGAACTAAACACAGTTTATCTTAATAGAGGAAGAGAGACGAGACGTTTTGTTACATTGAACTACTGTTGGTACTTCTGTGCGATTAATTTAATCAGAAGTTGATAAAAGAGACCTCCCCTCTTAAGACATTGTACGATACGTTGCCAGTTACAACGCTATTGTGACAGTCAATCAGAAGCTTTAATAATATCATTCTTTTACTGAATGCGCCCATTGGCTGCGTTCAGCAGAAAAGCAGCTTTGCAACTGTTGTAAAATTCTTGAATATGATTGGCTTATACATTTAGATCTCATGAGGAAGTAAGGGCAAGACCAATCATATTAAAGAATTTTGCAACAGTTGCAAAGCTGCTTTCTTTGCTGAACGCAGCAGACTAAACAGTTTTACAACAGTTTTAGTGCTTTTTCACGAGCTGCTGAAACTGGCCGTTTCAGCGATAAAAAAGGTCACGTGATAAAAATTGACGAATAGCAAGCGTCATATTCGCTTGCTGTTCGTCAATTTTTATCACGTGACCTTTTTTGTCGCTGGAACGGCCAGTTTCAGCAGCTCGTGAAAAGGCACCTTGGCCGGTATTCATAGTCAGTTCTTATATTCAAAACCGTCATAAGTTCAGTCTTGACGAGTTACGAACCAATCAGAGGGCCGCTTTAGCATCTTAAGACATTACTTAAGACAGTCATGAAATAAGAACCGACTATGAATGTCTGCCCTTGATTCTTTGCTGAGATAGGACTATTCCTTTAGATCTAAAAGTATAATCCAATCAGCGAGACGAATCATAAAACGGTTGCAAAACTGTTGAGTTTGCTGAATGCAGCCAATAGCGATAGCGGTAAGTTTCAACTTATCAGAAATCGAATACACCGGCATATAGATTCACACTGCATCCGATTTTCGTCGTACGATGACTTTGCAACCAATTAGAAAAATCGTATCATCGATACGAAACAAAAATTTGTTTCCTGATTGGTTGCAGAGTCGTCGTACGACGAAAATCGGACGCAGTGTGAAACCAGCAATACACATTTTTGATAGGTTGAAATTTATCGCTATCGCTATTCCCTCGCATTGTGTCTTGGGCTTTAAATCGTGATTAAAATGAATCTATGTATTGAGAACAAAGAGATTTATATAACTAGAGTGGCAAAGCCATAGCAACTCCAATGTATGTACGGAAATGTTAGGCGATAGGAAAGAAATCTCTTTGATTGACAATTGAGAACGCGACAACGTTGATACTTCGGAAGGATTGCCAGCGACGTCACCAGGGAACGACCGGCAGAGGGCGTGCAGGGGAAGAAAGTTGAAGCACTAGGAACACCGTCGGCGCTAAGATCCCTACGCTTCCGGATACTCCATACAGCACGGCGAACAAACGAGCGCGAGCGCGGCCGTTGCGCGTGTATCGTATCGCACGGCGACGCACGCATATACGCACGAACGAACGCACGTTTCTGCCAGCGGCAAGCTCGAGCCCTTCCCCGCGCACGCCGTACGTTACCGTCGATGCGCCACGTCGCGTGACGGATCCCGATACGCGACCAGCCGCGTAATTATTCGCGGCCGCAAGTTCTGCTCTCTCTCTCTCTCTCTCTCTCGCTCCACTACCCCCGGCGTCTCGGAGACAAGCCGAAAGACACGCAGTAAGTTTTGTGATGAGATTCAACTAAGATCGCATCGCGGTTCGGTTTCAGTCGTTTACTCCTCGCGCGCGGGCGGCCACGTCGCGCTGCCGTTTTTCTCTCGTCTCTTTCATCCACCTCCTCGTGCGACGTAGATCTCTCTCTCCGCTGCTCTCGGCAGAGACGGCGGCAAGCAGAGCTCTCGCCTGCACGCCGCCGGCGGCAGATAGCGCGGCGACGCCAGGTGTAGAACCACGCGCGGGCGCGGAAGTGCAGCTCGGGCCGCGCGCGCTGCCGGTTCTTGCGGAAGTGGCCGCTGAGGGCGCGCCGCTCGCGGGCTAGCCAGCCAATCGGCGCGCGCGGCAGTACCGTCGCGCCGTTCTATCTCTCGAGTACGCTCGTGGCACGCCCTACGACTTCCTCCATTGTCCTTCTTTCCGAGATTCTCTCCGCGAGGAAGGATGGCTCAGAACAATTATTTCGGCTTTACTCACGGTGGGACGCAATATGGGTACGAAATCGTCTGCTTTATCATTATCACTAAGCTAGTGTTAAGTCTCGAGCGAGGATTCGTGGCCTCGAGCGCGTGCCTGCGATAGTGATAACGAGACACTCGCGTTTCTGACGACACGCGTCTGAAAGGTACGGGGCCGGCTTGGCGGCCATTATTCTCGCCGCGAGAGATTGCCGACTCGAGTCGAGCGTCTCTCCCGAGAGGCTGCCGTTACGATTTTCCTACGGTTACTCTTCACGCGTTGCCGTTGCGTGTCGCATTTCCTCGCGCGAACGCTCCGACCGCTGCAAGTCGGACTGATATAATTTTACTTTTAACATTGCTTTGCGAATAGGGCGACCAGCGCCGCCGCATACCAGACCGGACAAGCAGGATACGCTGTAACTCCGGCAGCCACCGCTGCCACATATCCCCAGCGACCCGCTGCTGCTGCCGCAACCGGCTACGAGACCTATCAGGCAGCTGCCGCTGCAGCCGCGACTGGAACGACGTATGCAGGTGGGTTCTACATGCGAACTCCACATGATCACGCTCGCCGATCGATCTCTTTTATGAAAGAAATTTGAAACCTAGAAGTGTACACCTATCGTAAACGTACTTTATATGAATGTTTCATCTCTCATTGAATATAAACCTTTTAGAGATTTCAATAAGTATCTGAGGCTGGTATTCATAGTCGGTTCTTATTTCAAGACTGCCTTAAGTAATGTCTTAAGATGCTAAAGCGGCCCTTCTGATTAATTCGTAACTCCTCAAGATTGAACTTAAGACGGTCTTGAATATAAGAACTGACTATGAATACCGGCCTGAATGTAATGGGGAAAAAAAATGCTGATTTGGTTCAGGTGCGAGTCTAGCTGTACTTATATCCAATTTCTTCTATGAATTTTCATGTGCTTATGATATTATGGTCTATCGTGGGTCTATATTCCATTTAACACTCGCAAACATTATTTGTCATTTATCACTAGGATTTAAGGGGATGCTAGAGTGTCTGTTTTATCATTACTTACATTAGTTAAAGACTCGTTTCTCTTAATTGCATTTACAGATGGAAAAATCCTTCTGTATAATTAAAGTATCGACAACAATGAATTGCGCTAGCTACATTTCAATACGAAAAACGGAAGAAAATTAAAAACTTACAGTTTCGTTATCGGCTTCTGTGATTTTTGATAACGAAACTAAATTTTTTTTCCGTTTTTCGTATTGAAATGTAGCTAGCGCAATTCATTGTTGTCGATACTTTAATTATGCAGAAGGATTTTTCCATCCGTAAATGCAATTAAGAGAAACGAGTCTTTAACTAAGTAAGTAGTGATAAAACAGGCGGGTCCAGCATCACCTTAAACAAGGATAAAATGATTCAATAGATGCTGTGTACGTTAAATGGAACATAAAGTCCAAGAGACTTGTAACATATTCGTTAATCCAATCCTTGATAGTCTATTCTTTTTACATTTCTTGTGTAGTTTAGCTCTTTGTAATTACAAAAAATCTATTTGACTCCGAGTTGGGGATCAAGCTAGTAAATCAAACATTTTATTAGTAGATGTGCTCCTTTCAGTAATTGGCTGTAGATCTATTCATGATGCTTCAAATCCCTTC